AACTATCAGATTCAACTTTTCACATTGCGACCCGCAGTACCACTTCTAATTTCGGAAGCTGACTGAATCAGAAGACGTTTAACCCTCACAATCCTAAACCTTCAGCAAAACCCTGGATAGGCCCCATAGATACCAATGCGAACGTTATTCCTTTCAAAAGAAATGAATAATGATGTGTTAAAATTTGCATACAGGGCCGCCGAGAGGGGGGGGGCAGGGGGGAGCAAATTGCCCCGAAGTGCTGGGGCCCCTGAAAAATGTTAGTTGGGCCCCAGTCTTTTTTGTGTGTTAAATATTTGCTCGCAAAGGACAAGATCTCTGTCTTATTTGGCTAAGTACCGAAATGAGGCATAGAAAAATGAGATAAAGTCCCTGGAAAGTATCTTCAACGTACTCGTCCGGAAAATTTTTACTCCGGAAAAATTTTTTCACCCCTAAAATTTTTACCGGAAAAATTTTTTTGGAAAGGGGCCCCCCAAAAAAAATTTGCCCCGGGCCCCCGCCAACCTCTCTGCGGCCCTGTTTGCGTAGCAGGACTAAATCGTTGGGCTGGTTACGTCACTGAACTTAGACGTTTCGAACGAATGCCTTTTGTCGGGAAGGGTCTAATTCGTTCGAATCGCCGAACTTTTGGTCATATTTTTCAGATAGTCGCATATCGTTCACACCTCAGTTGTTTGTTATGGACTCTGCCTTCAGTGGCACCCAGGGATTAGGAAGTGGTCAATCAGTTTCACTATTTCTCAGGTTGTATGTTTAACCTGTTTCATTATTGGGTCGAAAAGATTCTTTTAAGGCCGTTTTCTACTAGGCGGAATTTTGCGCGCGGAGCGGAATTTTTCTTTGTCTTTTCTAATTAGTTCCACCCGAGAAATCACAAGACAAAGAAAAATTCCACTCCGCGCGCAAAATTCCGCCTAGTGGAAAACCGGCTTTATGATTTCTCGGGTGGAACTAAAGCCTGATTTCCACTAGGCGGAATTTTGCGCGCGGAGCGGAATCTTTCTTTGTCTTGCGATTTCTCAGGTGGAACTAATTAGAAAAGACAAAGAAAATTTCCGCTGCGCGCGCAAAATTCCGCCTAGTGGAAATCAGGCTTAATTAGAAAAGATAACGAAAAATTCCACTCCGCGCGTAAAATTCCGCCTAGTGGAAAACCGGCTTTAGAAAAGACAAAGAGAAATTCCGCTCCGTGCGCAAAATTCCGCCTAGTGGAAAACCAGCTTTAGAAAAAAACAAAGAGAAATTCCGCTCCGCGCGGAAAATTTCACCTAGTGAAAAACGGCCTTTAGGTTTGGTGCGATGTAGCCTGCGCGCAGACTATATATCAGACATATATAGTAGTAGTAGTAGAACTTTATTTATCCACGCTGACCCCGTCAACCGTAGCTGATTTCCACGGGGGGCGACAGACATGACATGACAGACATATATCATACATCGACAGACAGTCATATATCAGACATGACATGCATACATGTCATTGTATAGTCTGCGCGCAGGCTAGGTGCGATGTGGTTATGAAGAATTTTACACATAAGAATTGATTTACTAATTTATTTCTCAGGCGGAGTTTCATGGTAATATTATTTTAATGTTCACAATATAATTTCACAATATTTGATAAACAAAGTACCATGCACCCGCACCGTCTCCTGTTAGGTAAACCGCTTCGTGGTGCTTTGCGACGAATTTCCACTTTCCCTCTTTGCAAAGTTGATCCATTTTTTCACGATATCCGCTTTGCGGAGCATCCAGTGCTCGCTCTCTGATACCAAACGCCACCAATCCCCCCGGTTTGACCACGTGCACGAGATCGTCAAGGCCTTCGCTTTTCACGTGTGCGAGTGTGAAGGTACCCACGCAAATGGCGACATCGTATTGGTTCGCGCCAATACCCAGATCCTTGCACTCTGGAGACCCCATCGAACCTTGTTGTAGTAATCCATATATACCTTTTGCTTTTGCAACCTCCAGCATCTCCGGCATTAGGTCTACTCCATCGATATTTTTATAACCACGATTCACTAGTTCGTCTCCGACCAATCCTGTGCCGCAGCCGAGATCTAGAATACGAGTGTCGTCGGTGTATCCAAATTCTTTCATCTGTTGTGCCAATTGTTCCGCTGCTACTGCTGGCCCACTGTACGAGTGATTTATACACATATCCTAAAAACACGGCACAGTCGAACAGCTATTAGTGACCTTAAGATTGACGTTTACGGCACACTGTTAACCGCGGACGGATGAGAACTGACCCCCCCCCCGCTATAAATCCACCACTGCTTTGAACTAGTTCAAAATTTGATGAAAATTGGTGAGAGATTTCCAGTCAACTCTCATCAACGGTCATGTAACTCTTGTTCTCGTTTGACCGGGCATAAGAGTTGTGAAAACTCTCATGTAAACTCTCGTCTGTCGACTCCGGCATCAACTCTCCTTGCAATTTCTTTCGTCCGATTAATGCCGGCTCATATCATAGATTCGAAATTTCTTGTTTTGATTTCGATTTGACGATTTTAGGAATATTATGGTTTTGTGAACTGATAAATTTAAAAACTGAAATTTACTGGGAAAATGCTATGAAAACTGTTTACGACCTTGATAGATTTTGGACGTCAATAGACCTTTCCCCTTATGAGCAATCTCGTTCCCCGAGCATGCCCGTTCGCAGGTTAAGGGTGGGCATAGCTCTGGAGAAATCGAATTGATTCACGTTGGATTTCCAACGTGAGTTCTACGCATGCTCGGCAATTGTTGCAAAATATAAGCAAAGTATTTAGAATTTCTCGTCGAAAATTTGATACTGTTTGCACTGAAATCGAATTGAAAACAACTAAAAATTCTGGGGGAAAGCTTCGGATTGATAGGGATACAACTACCTGAAAAGTACAAGGGGAACTTCGATATATTTTCGTACGAAGGCGCTTCGACATGTATTGTAGTGTTTGTATACATCGTACTTTACCTTTACTGATAAATATAATATCCTCAAGAATGAGTATAATATATATGTGCTTTAAAATTTACATTTAACTCTCCTGTCAGAATTTATGGTATACGTAGTGTTAGGTACGACAGTATAAAAGGTCAAATACGAGTATTGTATACAAACTATTACAGTACAAGTCGCTTGACTCGCTTAACCTTCGCTCGAAACGTCCAAGTTCTTGTATTTTCAGGTACTTGTTTCCCTATCAATCCGAAGCTTTCGTACATATCTTCCCAATTTCTATTTGTTTTCAATTCGATTTCAGTGTAAAAAGTAGCAAATTTTCGACGAGAAATTCTAAATACTTTGTTTATATTTTGCAACAATTCCTAAGCATGCGTAGAGCTTAGCCTAGTTCCTCGGCCTTCCACCCGCGGGCGAGTTACAGGCTTCAAGGAATTTGCAGGCTGCGCGTTTCCGAACAAATCCGAACTGACTCCCCAGTCTCCAAAAAATCCCGGTCAACCCGCATGCCTCTAAAAAATCACCCTTAATAATCAGGCGCAAGCGAAAAGGCCGAGGAACTAGGCTACGTAGAGCTCACGTTGGAAATCCAACGTGCTATATCTGCCGCTAGCCAATCAGCGGCCTGAATCAATTCGATTTCTCCAGAGCTATGCCCACCCTTAACCTGCGAACGGGCATGCTCGGGGAACGAGATTGCCTTATGAGTGAAATTTTGATCTAGATAGGCCTGGGCAACAATTTCATCACAGCTTGAAAGAGCATCACAAAATTAGTAATATTCCGAAGTTTTGGTGCGAAATGTTGTAAAATGCGGATAATATAGCCTTGCGAAGTTTGCCGTTTTTCAGTCATTTTGATTACAAATGGGAAATTGATAATCAGTTTGATCATCTGATTATCAATTTCCCGTTTGTAATACCAAATGACTGAAAAACGGCAAACTTCGCAAGGCAATATCATCCGCGTTTTACAACATTTCGCAACGAAACTTCGGAATATTACTAATTTTGTGATGCTCTTTCAAGCTGTGATGAAATTTTTGTCCAGACTTGTCTAGATCAAAATTGCACTGAAAAGGGGAAGGTCTATTCCGCCACGCATGACTAAAGTTCTTACTCCAGTATATATAGAGCTCACTGGTTCTGGCATGCTGATATATATAGTACATATATTGTATATATACCGTCTCGAAAAGTCAAAGAAAACCTTAATGTTTATAGCTTGCGTGCAGACCGACTTTGGCTGCCATTCGGACAATTCAATGTATTCGGAACCATGCGAAGATTCGTCCGGCTCCACTATTTCACAATCACATTGGAATTTGTGCAATTTTAATACATCTAGGCTCGAATTCGTCTTCTCGCGAATCTCTGCTTCTCACCTTTTCATATGTTTTGCTCCAAGCCACATATGCTTCCTTTAACTCTTCTTTGGTCGTGCCTTCTTTTAAGGCCTTTTCCATAAGCTTATCGACGTGAGTATAGCCATCAAAGGTAGCCATTGTGTGCATTGAAAGGTGTATTGCCTTGTGAATGAACGAGGTCTGTAATGTGAAACCTATTAGATATGCATATCTGGCCTCTGAAATAAATTATCTCGGGATCTGATTTCGTTTCCTTCTCAACGAGGATGGAAATCCACATTAACTGTGGAGTTTTGGTGGATTTCCATAAGCGTTAAGGACAGCAGATGATGGTCAATTGCACATGTATTGACATTTGTAGGGGCGGTAGGGGCAAGCAAGCGTAAGAAAATATCTCTCATACATGCATACAGTATCAAAGTATGTAAACATGAGGTTTAGATTTCACTACCGCTACAGGGACTATTAACCAATTAGATACGTTTCATATATCCGATTAACCAATCAAATTCCAGTGTTGTAACGAGTCGATCGACTGGATCGAGTCATTGACTCGGACTCAAGTCGCAATTTTCTGCGACTCGAATCGAATACGAAAAATGACTCGACTCGAGTCAACAGCCCCAAATGACTCGACTCGGACTCGAGTCAACAACCCCAAATGATTCGACTCAGACTCGACTTGTTGATTTCTGCCATAAATGACTCGAGTCAACTCATTTACAACTTGTTGGGGGATAAATTCCGATCAAAAATATAGTCGATGAATAGGTTGGGAAGAGTTCTGAGTGAAAGGGCTTGAAGAAATACAAAAGTAATTCTCGATGCAGCTAGGCATGTTTCCACTTTTGTTCACCTTTTTGTTCACCGTACAATTCGTGTAGCTATTGATTCGATTCGAGTGAAGTCATTGACTCGACTCGACCAGATAGTGAAATGAC